GATATGTGTATGTATATACACACACACACACACACACACACACACACACACACACACACACACACACACACACTGCCTTCCTTTAGATGTAACCACTATCCTGAATTCTAAACTTTTCACTTCTTTGTGTTTTTTTTGTTTTTTTTGTTTTTTTTTTTTTGAGGTACGCGGGCCTCTTACTGTTGTGGCCTCTCTCGTTGCGGAGCACAGGCTACGGACGCGCAGGCTCAGCGGCCATGGCTCAACGGCCCAACCGCTCCACGGCATGAGGGATCTTCCCGGACCCGGGGCACGACCCCGTGTCCCCTGCATCAGCAGGCGGACTCTCAACCACTGTGCCACCAGGGAGGCCCTCTTTGTTTTTTTAAATAGTTTTTTTTCCTAGTCACATGTGTCCCTAAATAATGTATTACTTAGCTTTGCTTGTTTTTAAGATTCTCAAAACTATCAATATATATTATACGGTCTTCTATAACTTTTTTCATTAAATATTTTATTTCTAAGATCCAACATTTTTATTTTATTTAATTTATTTTTTGGTGTATGTTGGTGTAGTTCTTTTTCCTGCTGTATGTTATTTCATTGTGAAAAGTACTATGATTTATTGATCTCTTCTTTGATCAGTAAATGTTCGGATTGTTGATCAATTTTTTCTGTCATGAACATTGTTGCTAGAAATTGCACACATCTCCCTCTGCACAAATATAAGAGTTGCTCTAGGTTAATGCTTCTCAACTTTTTTTCTGATGGCACACAATAAACACTAGTATTTGTATAACACCTAGAAGGCAAAGCTTCTTGAGACCAGCAGTTCCTCATAGGAAGGCTCTGCCCAGGAGGAAATACATATCAATGGACCATGGGGTACAGAAGTTCAAATATGCAAGCTGATGACAAATTGTTTTTTAAGAGTAGGTGCTCGTCTTTACACTCCCACTAGCAGGATGTTGGAGTTTCTCTTGGCCCACATTATCTGGACCATCTGGTGTTGTCAGACTTATTAAATCTTGCTGGTCTGCTGTTTGTAAAATAGTATCTAATTGTAGTGTTAATTTACACTTTGAGTTCGATCATCATTTAATAGCGGTTCTGTGCTGTGAACTCTGGTCTAGCCTTATGTCATTTTTTCTAGGGTGTTTTCTAACTGATTTAAAAGGAGTTTTTGTTTCTCCTTATTTTTATTTTTTATTTTTTCCTTAATTTGCAATACTAATTGTAAACTGTTTGGGGAGTACTTTCTCCATGTTGTGATGTTTCTCTTTACATCACATGTCTTTTGGCAACCCTAAGTTCTTAGTTTTAATCTAGTTAAGTTTATAATTCCTTCCTAATATACATTTATTTATGTAACTTAGGAATACTGTGGGTATTTTTGTTTCTTGTTTAAGTAAACCGTTTCTGTCTCAAGATACTGTTTTGTAATTTCTACGAAGTTTTCCTTCTCCATTTCCATATGCTCTTGTCTTTAAATTCTTTTTCTCTTATTGAACTTAACTATATATAAGCAGTGGGCATATTGTTAGAGATCCTAGATTTATTGTTTTGTTTATTTGTTTTATCTGTTGAATCCAAGTAAGCTGTCAGCACATTACTAACCTGAATGTGGAATTTTTCCTTTTGGCAGACGATTGTGATGACCCTCTGGTGTCTGCCTTGTCTCAGGCATCATTCAGCAGTTCATCCGAGCTCTCTAGCAGCTATGGTCCTGGATTTGCAAGGCTAAATCGAAGAGATGGTAAGTCTGCTTTTTCTGCTCTGATTGGTTCATGATGAATCTCATTCATCTTCCATTCTCTTTTAGTAAAATCATTGTAAGTGATATATTGTAAAAGGTAATAAATTTCTGAATAAGCAAATGGCAGAAACTAATGGGATGTTCATGACATTTAGGATTGGCTCTAGAATGGCAAAGGGATGCACCTGTTCTGAGATCTTGTATCATCATTTTAGTGCCCAAAGAATTGAATTCCCTAAATCTGGTGATTTTTTTAATGTATCTTATAAAATAAACTTTTCTTTAGAATTTTTTTATTTTCATTTTTTAATTGAAATATAGTTGATATACTATATAATTTTAGTTTTAGGTGTACAATATATTGCTTTGACATTTAAATACACTGTGAAGTGATCACCATGTTATGTCTAGTAACCATATAAAGATATTATTAACCATATTCCTTATGCTCTATATTACATCCCATGACTTATTTATCTTATAACTGGAGGTTTGTACCTTCAAATCTGAATGATAACCTTGCTGGGTAGAGTATTCTTGGTTGTAGGGTTTTTGTTTTGTTTTAAGATTTTTTGATGTGGACCATTTTTAAAGTATTTATTGAATTTGTTACAATATTGCTTCTGTTTTATGTTTTGGTTTTTTGGCTGCGAGGCATGTGGGATCTTAGCTCCCCAATCAGGGATCGAACCCGCACCCCATGCATTGGAAGGCAAAGTCTTAACCACTGGACCGCCAAGGAAGTCCCTTGGTTGTAGGTTTTTTTCCTTTCATTACGTTGAATACGTCATGCACTCCCTTCTGACCTGCAAAGTTTCTGCTGAAAAGTCAGCTGATAGTCTTATCGGAGTTCCCTTCTAGTTGCTCTTCTCTTGCTACTTTTAAGATTCTCACTTTAATCTTTAATTTTCCCATTTTAGTTATAATGTGTCTTGGTGTGGACCTCTTTGGGTTCATCTTGTTTGGGACTCTGTGCTTCCTGGACCTGGATGTCTGTTTTCTTCCCCAGGTTAGGGAGGTTTCTGGGTGTTATTTCTTCCAAAAATTCTCTGGTCCTTTTTCTCTCTTTTCTTCCTCTGGGACCGTATAATGTGAATGTTCCTATGCTTGATGTTGTCTCAGAGGTCCCTTAATTACCTTTATTAAAACCTTTTTTTCTTTTCCTGTTCAGTTTGGTTGATTTGCAGTACTCTTGTCTTCCAGATAACTGATCCATTCTTCTGTATCATTTAATCTACCGTTGATACCCTCTAGTGTATTTTTTACTTCAGTTGTTTTATTCTCCAGCTCTTATTTCTTTTTAAATTTTCTAACTCTTTGTTGAAGTTCTCACTCTGTTCATCCATTCTCCTAAGATTGGTGAACATCTTTATGATCATTATCTTGAATTCTTTATTGGGTAGATTACTTATCTCCGTTTCATTTAGTTCTTTTCCTGAGGTTTTGTCTTGTTCTTTCATTTGGAACAGATTTCTTTGTCTCTTCATTTTCCCTAATTCTCTGTGTTTATTTCTATGTATTAGGTAGTTCCATTACATCTCCCAGTCTTTTTGAAGTGGTCTTCCATAGGAGATGTCCTCTGGGCCAGCAGCACACTCCCCTCTGACCATCAGAGCTAGATGCTCCAGGGGTGTCCCCTGCGTGGGCTGCATGTGCCCTTTTGTTATGGCAGGGCCCACTACTGTGGGCGGGCTGGCAGGTGGGGCTGACCCCCAACCTGGCTGGCTGTGTGACCTGGTGGTGCATGGCTGTTGTGGGCCCACTGGTGGGTGTTGTCGGCTCCTGGCACTAATAGACTAGAGAGAGGATTCCAGAATGACACTTGCCAGTGCTGGTGTCAGCTCAGTAGAAGGAGATTCCAAAAATGGCCACCACCAGTGTCTCATTACCCAGGGGAGTCTCAGCTGCCTCCTGTCTCTCTGGGAGGCTCTCCATGGGCATTAAGTGAGTCTGACTCAGGTGCCTTTCAAACTACTGCCTCTACACTGGGACTTGGAGTATGTGAGATTTTCTGCACACCCTTTAAGAGTGGAGTCTCTGTTTTCCAATGCCCTCTGGCTTTTCCAAACATATGCCCTGCTGGTTTTCAAAGGTTGACTTCTGGGGCCTCTTTTTCCCTGTGCAGGATCCCTGGGCTGGGAGGCCTATGTGTGGCTCAAACACCATGCCCCTCATGGAGGACCTCTGTTGCTATGATTTCCCTCATGTTTGTGGGTCACTGATCCTGTGCTGGGGTTACTGACTAGACTCCATCTCTGTCCCTTCTACCTGTCTTGTTGTGGCTTTTTCTTTATATTTTAGTTGTGGAAAATCTTTTCTTATCTTCAGGTTGTTCTCATAAATAGTTACTTTCTTTTCTTTAATAAATTTATTTATTTTTAGCTGCATTTGGGTCTTCATTGCTGCGTACGGGTTTTCTCTAGTTGTGGCAAGTGGGGGCTACTCTTCGTTGTGGTGCACAGGCTTCTCATTGCGGTGGCTTCTCTTGTTGCAGAGCACGGGCTCTAGGCACACAGGCTTCAGTAGTTGTGGCTTGCGGGCTCTAGAGCGCAGGCTCAGTAGTTGTGGCGCACGGGCTTAGTTGCTCCACGGCATGTGGGATCTTCCTGGATCCAGGCTCGAACCCATGTCTCCTGCATTGGCAGGCGGATTCTTAACCACTGCACCACCAGGGAAGCCCTGACAGTTACTTTCTAAGTAGTTGTCATTGTGGTGTGCGTGTGGGAGGAGGTGAGTTCAGGGTCTTCCTACTCTGCCATCTTGGTCCTAAAATATACTTTTCTACAGCAATATACAATCATTGTGTATACAGTAGCCATGAAAATTTAATTGGCCCTCTATTTCAAGATAAGCAAGGAAGTTTGCAAGAAGCGATTTCAAAAGTTGCTAGTTATTTAACAGTAATCATCCCTAAGTTTAGTTAATTCTCAAAATGAATGACATGACTTTCTCTCCTGTTGAGGAATGGGAAGTTAATAAGCTTCCATGCTCCTTTAGGAATACTCAGTTCGTATTGTTGACTATCTCTTAGGTAGGTTGTGTTTGATTGCTTGAGTATGTTTAAAGAAAAGTGCGGATAATTAAATGGCAACTTGCTGTAGATATAAGAGAATTTCAAAACTCTCTGCACTTAAAGACAAAGTATCGTTATTATCCCTTTCTATAATATGCTAAGGCAAAACCCATCTGCTCATGCATTCTATGGAAAGAGGATTGGCAATACTAACAAAGAAAATATTTTTAACAACCATAAAAAAAGACACTGACATCATATATTATTGAAACTGATTCACTCACTTATTATTCCCTTCTCACATGCTGCAGCTACTTCTTCGAATTTTACTCCTTGATCTTATCCTTTGTGCTGTTGTTTAATGTTTGAGTACATTGAACAGTGGACATAACAAATAGATTGTGTGTGTGTGTGTGTTTTGCCATATGGTCCATGTTATAAATATCTAACTCTGTAGCATGGGTTTATTTAAAAAATCTTATCTGATATTATTTGATACAGTCCTCTATGTGTGTTTCTTTTTTTTTTAATTAGGTATAATTGTCATAACTTTGTGTTTCTTAGTGTGAGAATATCACACTAAGAGTGTAATAACTGAGATCCTTGTATCAAATGGAGAATTTTGTGGGCTTTGAATATATTTGTGTAGATAATTCTTGTCTGTTACATTTATTTGCCTTATAGTGAAAGTTATTGTCACATTGGACTATCTCTTCCTATTTTCAATTCTGAATCCCTTACCACAGGCAAGTGGGATTTCCTAGCCCTGTGGGGGTCAGTCCAGATCCTGAACCAATGGTCCTTTCCATAGGAATGCTGTCATCACAACACTGACCTTAGAATGAAGTTTCTATCTTATATTTCTCTTTAAAGTAAAGCAGAGTTTAGCATTTGCCACCACTCCATTTGAGTTATAATAAGGTTTCATAGGATTTGGCCCATCAAAAGAGATACAAAATTTAATGTAACTATTTATCATTATTTTCATTTGTTGAGGTTCAACAAATCTCTCTCTCTCTCTATATATATATAATATGTTATTGATTTGATCAATCATATTTTTCATTAATTTATATACTCATCAGGAGTCTCTATCAGTAGGACTCATTTTCATTCTTAATTCATTTCTATGGCTCTTGGTGAAACGCAATATTAAACTTCATGAATCTCATTTGCATGTTAATGAAATGGAGAAACACAACAGGATCGTTTTAATTATCTTTTGCTGGTTGTCAACCTGCTTGATTACATTTTTCTTTTTTATTTAGCTTTTCTTTTTTTACCTATTAATTACATGAAGTGTTCACAAGAGAATATCAGATTTTGAATGATTTATTAAAGGCTGTATTTTATACTAGTATGCCGACATTCCTTGTGGTATTTAAATCAGGCTATGGAAGGGTGTTCAGCTAAGTCAGCGGGTCATGTATAAATAAACTGAATCAGCAAATAAAGATCCTAGTATCCTAGAAACACAGATGGGGTTACCTTTTTGCTATGGAATCTGGAAAACTTAGAGCCAAAGAACAGAAAAGCAAGAAATGAGGAATCAAGCTCAACAGCCCACTGCTTTCCATCTATGAGATAAGAAGTGCCCTGGGTAACACTGTGATAATGACTAGGCCCTGTAATGGGGAAAGGAAATCAGAAAAAGACTACAGTTAAATGTCCATTTCTACCAGTAGGGAAGAAGAAAATTTACTTTTTTTGAGGTATATTAATTTAATTTTGTCACTTAATTCCATTGTGGGTTGAAATGTGTCCTTCAAAAGGATACATTCACATCTTAACCCTGATACCTATGAATGTGACCTTATTTAGCCCTAGAGTCTTTGCAGATGTGATCAAGTTAAGATAAGGTCATATTGGATTAGGGTGGGCTCCAGATAAGGCCTTATAAGGAGAATGAGATTTGGAGACACAGGAACAGAGAAGACAGAGAGAAGAAGGCCAGGTGAAGACAGAAGCAGAAATTCAAGTAATGAAG